GGGGGGGGGTTGTTTTGTTTTCCCCTAGGACAGATTATGGTCAAGTTTTTAATGGAAAGACGTGATAGGATCATGCTGCACCAGAGAACCTCCCAGCCGTCGCGAAATTCAGAACTTTTAATTCGAACCTGAAAGATTTATCATAACATTAGATACGTAACTGCCTGTAACATCGAAGTCATATGGATTTAATGTCAATGGACGCAGTATCTCAGCCGTTATCGTGGGTGCCTTGACAACATCTTTCGACTTGAAGGGGAGGTGTAAAAAACGTTTTTAAAAGTACCAATGGTTATAACCACCAACTGTGATTTATTTGACATCCACTTTGTAGAGGATCAATACGGGTACTTGCAATGAAATTGGAATCCAGTTATGACCACTTTCTTGCTAGACTTTGGTGTGTGTGTTGTGTTCACGTGCAGATTTTCTGCAGTCCCCCATTGTGTGCTTTCTCTGGCTTTCTGCAAAGTTAACTGGCAGTTGGAGGACGCTTCTTATATGTCCTGTTTCTTTTCTTTTCCTCTGGGTTTTTTTTTTTCTTTCTTTCTGTGTGTCTTACTTTTTCTTTGCACTAAACGACCGTCATTGTGTCGTTGTGTCGATGTGCTTCTCTTTACTCCAACAAAGTTCCTCCTACTCGAAAATACCTTCACTGTGTGAGTGTTGACGCCATGCTTCAACAGATACGTTTTCTTCTCTGTGGTGGATTTTTTGTTTGGGCTCTTAAGGCTTAAGGTTAAGAGAACATAGAGGAGCATCATTAATTAGTTCTTTGTAACCTGAAAAGAGGTTTCTAGGATAAACACGGAAGAAGAGAGAAAAGTTATGGGTTCAGTTTGCGTTATATTGATCCTTTTTCGGCAATGGGTATGAAAAGGCTCAAGTGGATGTAACTGCCAAATTTGATTTATTGTACCGTTTTATGGGGATCGATAGCCCAATGAGCTTGAAATCTCGTCGCGACCACTTTCTGGGTAGACGGTCCTCGGTGATTGCGTTCCTCTGTGTGT